TTCCAAGACACTGAGTCAAGCCGTTTCGAGCGAAGTTAGTATCTGGATGGGTGACCTGAAACTATTCATCTGAGCAATTTTTGCTTGCATAATATGCTTTTAAAGCTGGAATAACAAAGAAAGAAAATAAATAAAAAGGAAATTAAAGAAAAAAATTTTATTTTTATTTTTCTTGCTTGACTTGTGAGAGAATGTGACCGTCACTAGGGATTGCTGTGGTTTTCAGTGACCGAGAATGAGTCAGAAGACTGAGAACTACTTGTGAATCTGCAATATGTCCAGTCAGCAGAGTTACCCTATCCATTCAAAAAGAAAAAACTTTTGAAAATATTTAAAAGAAATTCATGTCATAAAAACCTATAATTTCTTATTCCTTTTTCGCCCATCTCCTTTCAAACATTCATCACGGCATCTTTAAACAATGCACTATAAGTTAAGTGCCGTTTTACGTGGCCACGAGCTTGATATTCGCGCCGTTTGTCCGGCAAATTTCCCTGATGGAGGAATTTTGACTGCTTCTCGTGACAGGACGACTCGTCTTTGGGTTCGTGATCAAGAATCAAATACTTACAGTGAAGGACTTGTTCTTGCTGGACATAAGAACTTTATCTCTGCTGTATGTGCTCTGCCTGCAACGGAGGCCTATCCCCACGGTAAGGAGAAGATTTTAACTGAATTAATTAAGGTCAATTAGATAGAGGGTTACGTGGACGACAACTGTCATTGAGAACTAACAGCGAGGAAGAATGAAGTTCAGAGATATTTTTATACTTTTTGTAACAAAGGAATTAGAATTAGATATTAAATATCATAGTCGCCATTTTGTAAAATATAGTGAAGAAATTGGTATTTCTCCGACCACCCCTTGCTGTATTATTAATGAAAAAGATAATTACTGAAAGATTAGGTACTTGTATATACATATTAATGATTCATAATATCTGTAGATAGAGTGCAAACTATATATCGATGAAACAGAACTAACTAATTAGTACAATATAGCATCAATAAGATATTGAAAACGAAAGAAATACATGGGTTTAGTACTATTCAGTTTTTGTGCTTTTTCTTGTATATATGGTTTGCACTCTATCCACCGTAGAACGAAATTGCTTATGATTATTTTTTTGCAGGTCTAATTGCCACTGGTGGTCATGACAATGCAATACTGATTTGGAATTTGGAATCTACAGGTATAGCGTTTGTAATATTGGCATTTAGATTTACCCCTCCATCTCTCCGACCCTTCCTTCCATCCCATCTCTCCAATCTGCCCACCTTTGCCACACCTATTCATTCATTTATTCACCACTATTATTCCTAAACTGTCCATCCATCAAGGCATCAGTACTTAAAGTAATGGCCAGTCATTTGAAAATTTCTGACCACAACTGAAAATCCTTATACGGTGGATAAAATGATGCTGTTATCCAACAACTTTAACCAGTGGATAAGATTTATCTGGACAGATAGTGCCATCCACCCTTCGTAACAACTGGGCCCTATTATTATTGTTAATAATATTATACACTCAATTGAAGAATCGTTGTCGGGTTCAGAAACATATAGAACATAGAAGCTGAGACCGAAATGGCACATGGGAAATGACATAATTATATTATAATTTATTAATTTGCACCATCCATGCAGTCGGTTTAGAATGCCAAACGCGTATTAAAAACAGTGGATGATGCCACGGGTCGCCCTTCACAGCATGCATCTAATTAACGTACTTCCCATGGGCCATTTCAGTCTCAGCTTCTATGTCTATGTTTCTGAACCTGACAATTATTCTTCAATTGAGTGTATACATTTGTCCGTATTGCCGGGTAATGGGATATCAGTTATGTAGTACTTAAATATGTGTTGTTGTAGAACCATTGCACACTCTTACTGGTCATACTGGTGCAGTATGCAGCCTGGTCGCTGGCAAGTTTGGAACTCTTTTATCTGGATCATGGGATAAGTACGCAATATTCATCTCTTTATGCTTCTTGTGTGAAATGGATGTGCCTAACTCTTTGTTAATATAAATTATAATGCATACAGACAACAAGTCTCTCACTTGTATATGTGGCATGGTCACTTCTCATCTGATTGGCTGATTTTGTACCCATGGTCTGGGCCAAAACAAATTCAGCCAATCATGATCAATCATGTATGGTTGCCTTGGAAACATTAGGGATTCATAAGTAAAGCTTGAGGCACCATATTCTTTAGTAATGCATAAATATTTGCATTTTTTAATATCATTTTTTCGTGTGTTTGTTTCATTTAATTAAATAGCACTGCTAAAGTTTGGATCAGTAATAAGTGTGTTATGACGTTACAAGGACATGAAGCTGCCGTCTGGGCAGTGGATCTGATGCCAGAAAATGGATTAATGCTAACAGGTAAAAACATTATCAATATTAGCTAAACTAAGTCAGTTCTTGTGGATTATTTGATATCAATATCTGAATTTCAATCAGCTGTGAAAACTGGTCTTTGAATCTCATATAATTTGCTCTAAATGGATGTCAAAAAACTGATTACCATGTACTGCCATGTGCTGCCAAAAAAATATGTCTTACCCTCGAAAGCAAGCAGTTCTTAAATTCTAGTCATAAAAATGTTGCAGGGTCTGCAGATAAGACCATCAAAATGTGGAGGGCTGGATCTTGTGAGAAGACATTTCCAGGGCACACGGACTGTGTCAGGGGTCTTGCTGTTTTATCGATGCTGGAATTTTTATCCTGTTCTAATGACTGGTAAGAAAATAATTATAGTTAAAATATGACTTGTACAGCCCTGCTCACCTACTCTAGATAATAAAACCTTTGGAAAAAGTTATAGGGGCAGGATAGGCTGATGTAAGCAGTCCGTGGGCTCAAATCGAACATTCATAAGTACAGTAGTCAGCCACCTTAATAATAATTTTGAGAGGACTTCTAATTGAGATTAATATTATCAATTAGTGTTGTCATAGCCAAAGGTTTTTTTCAAAAGATATCCAATCATTGAAGGTGTTTTACCTAAAATTTGCTAAATGATATTTATTATTAATTATAATAATTTTTACTTTTCAGTACTATACGAAGGTGGTTGACAACAGGAGAATGTTTACAGGTCTATACTGGACATTCCAGTTTTATTTATAAGTAAGTACACTATCAACAAACACTCTTTTAAGGTTTACAGAACATATAATTATGTAGCTCACTGTTGTTATCTAACTTATTTCTAACTTATTTTTCTTTGTTTTATTTCCCTTCATCAGTCTCACTGTACTTAGATTTGCTTCTGCATTATACACGTAGAACATACTGTACAATAAATACCAGTCATGATCAGTCTCTCCCGACCTTATCTCTAACTTGTTTTTCTCTTTTCTTCCCTTTTCTTCCCTTTCATCAGTCTCACTGTATTGCAAGATAACAGTGGTAGATTTGCTTCTGTTGGAGAAGACAGAACACTTCGGATATGGGAAGGTAAGATACACTTAATGTATGACTTACAGTGTATGTAGTGAGCAACATTTTATTTGACTCTGTCTTATGTATTAGCAAGGCCATRAAAAGTCCTCTTGAATGTGCAAGAAGCAATTTAATATAAGGGTGACACTTAATATCCACAGGCTAACAAACCTGTGGCCCTTGTTCCATAATCAAATTGGAATTTAGAATTGTTTTTTTTTGGGCGAGTGGGAGGACAAACAAAAAGCTCGGAGATAAAGCAGAGAAAATAATCGACATGCAACCCTTACTCAATATATAATAATTATGATGGTGAGTACATGTATTAGGATTTAGTCCTTGACCACAGCAGTTGGAGGTGATACTGTACATTAGCATTGAACACCACCTGTATTTTCCAATAATGATTTGACAATATTTGTTATGATCATAACTGTAGGTGGCGAATGTAGTCAGACAATAACTTTACCAGCTCAGTCAGTATGGTGTGTAGCATGTCTTTCTAATGGAGATATTGTCACAGGATCTAGGTAAATATTGAGCACTACTGTGTTGATTCTGGTGTAAGTTGATTAAGGTCCAGACACACGATGAGGCAACATCACATGCAACAGTCACGTGGGTGGACACACGGTGCAATTTTCCCATTGCAAGCATCATTGCTGGCTATGCCGTATCCTGCATCTCGACTTTTAGTGATATTTATACAGTTCATTTTAATAAGGTGCAGTAATATATGAGCGACATGCAACTTGTCATATTAACACTCCTTATGCAACAAGTTTGCATTGTTGCGAAGTGTATAGAGTTTCTACTTTGCACAACAATGCAAATTTGTTGTATAGGGAGTGGTAATAAGAGTGGTAATTTTGTTGCCCCTACAACTGCACATTTAGTATTACACTGTAGGCTACCTAGTGTTTTTCACCGAATCATGGTCTGCATCTGAAAATAGATCAAAACTAGTAGTCTGCCAATCAGATCTTACTAATTGATTCCCAAAGCTGTCCCAGCTGGGGGGGGGGGGGGGGACTGCTAGGTAGGTTAATGTACTGTACATTATGAACATTACATCATGTCTTTATTTGGCTGATTTTCATTTTGAATCCTTTCAGCGATGGTGTAGGCCGTGTTTTTAGTAGTCAAGCAGAAAGATTTGCTTCTCCAGAAGAAATCAAGGTAAGTATATATAACTGTATTTTTCTATATAGATGTACTTAGGAGTACCTACATGTATACAAAACTCCAATGATGGTTTTATTTTATTTTTCTCTTGTTTATAATGATGGTATTTTTCAAATTTAGTTGTTTGAAGAAGAAGTAGCTAAGCAAGCAATACCAGCGCAAGCCAGGTAGGATGAGTGAGAAAGACAAAATACAGTTGTCAGCTTGCAATAACAGATTGTACTATAATATCTTGAACACGTTCTAATCATTGGCAACTTTTTTTTTCCATTATAGTGGACAGATTGGTGATATCAAGCTTGAGCAGTTGCCTGGGCCAGAAGCTCTCCTTAGACCTGGTAAAAAACATAAAATAATTTATTTTTTTTAGGTTGGCTATGGTCTTAGGGTGGCTTGACATTTACAATTTATATAAAACGTCAATATCTACCTGATATATCGGATCATCCTCGGGAACCAGGGGTAAAGTTATGTCTCTTATGGATTTCCTTTTCAATAAACAATTAATATTAATCATATAGGATTAATTAACAAATAATAACTATTTTAGAACGGGGGAAAACTGTACTTCTATGAGCAAATGAAGCAACTTTTCTGTATCTATGCACGCTCAACGTCATACAGTCAATTCAAAAAACGTTGTCGTCGACCAACTCAAGCCTACGCGACTGAACCGAAAGGAACTCTGGGTAGCAATCATTGAAGCCTGACTAGTTATGCCTGGTTTACAGCACAAACCTTCGTAGTCGAGCGGGAAGTGTTGAAGGAGACGCTTTTTTAATGCCTTCATATATTCGAAATTGTGAACTGAATCATAACTACTTTGTTTTTCTTTCCCTAAACCCAAAGACATGCATTTGATGGATTGTTTCTCGCCATTATTATCTTATTACTAGCGGGAACAATTAATTCAGAACGAATATTTAACCGCTTCAGTGATTTTTACCCATATTCCTTTCGGTCCAATCGCGTAGGCTTGAGCCGGTCGACGACAACGTTTTTTGAATTGACTGTATAACAATGGATAAAGTCGAACAAAAACCTAGAACAATAGGTTTTCCAACCATTCCGCTACATTTCTATGATACTGGGCACCCAACCTGCTGCATCAGTGGATGGAGAATATTGATGATCATGATGAATCTGGAGTCAATCACCTGGTATTTGGGATCACACGTGGGCTCCTATGTCCCTTTAACTAATACAATATTCTTGTTTGATTGTGATCAAGGTAAAAAGAGCGGTCAGACTATAATGGTGCGTCGAGGACAGACGGTTGAATGTCACCAGGTAAGAAGCTTTATTCCTATAAACTTTACGTCAAAGCACCTAGAGATAATTGCTATAAATTTTGCAATTTTTGCAAATGTTGAATAATTTACCGAAAGAAATCGTTAAAGCTGAAGGATTTAGAGCTTTTAAACCAAGGGCGGATCCAGGGTTTTTTGAAGGGGGGTCTCAGGTGTTAATTTTGTGGGCAAAGGAATCCCAGTCGCATTTTACCACAGGAAGCCCATTTGACCTCAGGAATGACAGGGGGGTCGCGACCCCCCCGACCCTCCCCCTGGATCCGCCCTTGTAAACAGAAGCTGAGGGCTCACTTGGGTGTATAATGTTAGCTAGTACCGCGAGAAGACATTTAGATATCCATATTTCCATTCATTCTAAATTTTTGCATAGATGCTGTTTATGATTTTTTTTGCTTTTTTCGGGGAGTTTTTACATAGGACAACCTCGTTACTTCCTATTCAAGATGCTTATTACTCGCTTGTGTTGTTCACGTGTAATTTTTTGCTTGCGCTTACTTTTATTTTTTAAATATCCATGTAACTTCTTCTTTGCGTCTTGAATAAACCATGTACAGTATGTATGTATGTATGTAAAGATGATCGAGCAATTATTCGTCCTATTTATCCGTGATGAATATTTATCTAGAAGAGATAACTAGCTAAAAACTAGTGTGAGCTGCGTCGGTGTTTCTAATGATAAAAAACTTACTGACGTTTCGGACGCTAGTCCTTCGTCGGTAGGGAGTAAAAGAGGGAAACTAGAGTCCGAAACGTCAGTAAGTTTTTTCAGTTTTTCATCTTTTCACGGTGTAAAATTTACCCTTTTATCATTACTGAATATTTATCTGTTATCTTCTTTTCTTTTTGCAGTGGAATGACATGGAAGGTAAATGGGATAAAGTAAGTGTCAATGTTGGTAATGTCAGTCTTTTTAGAAAACATTTACCTAGCGCGTGTAAACTAATACGATACGGAAACGAAGGGACTGGCTTAGCAAAAGTCTTATAATATCACTGTTTTGCCGGTTTTTTTTAGGTTGGAGAGGTGGTGGGTGCTCCTGGTACAGAGTCAAGCTCTAGTTCCAATAAATCCATGTACAAAGGAAAGGTAAGGATCCTTTATAGTGTCTCGTACCTTCCTGGTTGTCTGTCTGTCTGTCACTTAATTCTCATCCCTCAATATTTCTTTATATGTAGGAATATGATATCATCTTCAATGTTGAAATAACCGAAGGAAAGCCTCCTCTGAAACTCCCATTCAATTATGGAGGTAAGTGAGTGTACGAATCTCCCCATGGGTGGCATGCGCTGCTAAGGTGCTGTCTTTCTGCATTGTAGTTCACGCCTGAGACCAAGGTAGACAGGTAGCCCAATAACAGAGTTAGTGAAGATCGTAAGGTTACTGAATGTATAATGAGATGATGCTTTTATATAACTTTTATGACATATTTGTCGACAAAGTAAAATTCGTAGTTTTCCTGTAAGCACATTTCCAAAGCCTTTGAGATTTTAACCATCATCTCAGTATACATTCAGTAACCTTACGATCTTCACTGACTCTGCGCTTGTACTTTGACTCTACCTGTGATGTGATTTGAGTTTGTTGATGTGTAGTTTTTTCCCTTGCCACGACGATTTTGTTTCTCCGATTTTTTCCCCTTCTCATTACTTGCTCTTCTACGAGTAATAGTTTTATGCACACGCTAATTGTCTGTGCTTCATTTGGTCCATTTCCAGACGATCCGTGGGTTGCTGCGCATAATTTTCTGGCTGAGAACGACTTGAGCCAGTTGTTCTTAGATCAAGTCGTCGACTTCATCCTCAAGAATACTAAAGATGTTACGATAGGCAAAGCAGCTCCTTCATCCAGTGATCCTTTCACAGGTTTGTGGGGCTTGTATTTATTTTCTCTTCTCTCCTCTTCTCTTGTGTTCTCTGCTCTGCTCTGCTCTGCTCTGCTCTGCTCTGCTCTGCTCTGCTCTGCTCTGCTCTTCAGTTCTTTTCTTCCCATTCCATTTAATTTCCTTCCTTTTTTAAATCATATATTGTTTTGTTTTTATGTTTTTTAGGCAGTAATCGTTACGTCCCCGGGAGTACGAGTACATTAATAGTGCCTGGTAACCCGTTGTCCCAGGCTGGAGGAGCAGTTGACCCGTTCACAGGTACTAACATCAACCAAGCACTCGTAGCTTTATCCAAACTAAAATGTTTTTATCCTTTCTCTCTCTTCATTTATCTTCCAATACGAATATTCAGTCATCTTGGAATACTCAATTTTTGAATTCTCTGTAGTCTGCCTGGATGGCGCAAGCATCGCCCCCCCGTCCCCGTCCCCGTTCCCACAGGCCCCTCATCCCTTCCCTTGCCCTTCCCTTTGCGCCTGTTACTCAGGGTTAGCCTCGATGTCGCATGGAATAATCTTGAATATTCATTTGTTCCAATTAAGGTCCATGGAATTTCGAAGTGTTTGTATTGTTACAGTTATGCATTCTGATATCATTCAGATATGTGAAATAATCTCATTGCCTTGGCTTTTCTTGTTTTTCATTGGCGTTAGGTGGTGGTAGTTATCGCCCCTCATATACAGATGTAACACAGTCAGGACTGGGATCTGGTGGTGCTGCTGACCCTTTCACAGGTATGCTTGCACGGCAGGACGGCGAAAACAATAGCAGCAGCACTAGTATTGGTATCAGCGGTAGCGGTAATAGTAGCAGCACTAGTAGTAGCGGCATCGGGAGCAGTAGCAACAGTATTAGCAGCAGCAGCAGCATTAGCAGCAGTAGTAGTAGTAGCAACAGCAGCAGCAG